GGGGGTGCAAACCAGAAAGGGCTACAGCCCAAGCCAATTTACCTGCTTGCTTTAAGTTTATCAGCAGGGATCCTGGTTTTCCCTGTTGAAAAATCACAAATTCTCTGATTAAACCCCCCCAAAATCTACATTTTTAGGCAATTAAAATAACCATGATTTACTGATATATTTACAATTTAAAAAGCAATTTGGAAACCTACCAGTGCGTCAATCATTATAATAAATTCTAAATAGCTATGAATTTTGGGGTTTGATTTTGGGGTTTTTTATTATGGAAAAATCAGAGCTCCCCCGACCCCTTCACTCACCAGGACACAGGTCCAACTGTGGCTGTCCCCCCGGGTGCTTTGTGGAGCTGAGCAGCCCTGATATGCCAGTGCCCTGCCTATGCCGGTGCCCCTCACTCCGACGCACAGTCGCCTGCCCCCAGACCCCCAGTGTGTGAGGAAGGGAGTGGCTGTGTGGAAAGTGAGGGGGGCACATACCCCGAGATTTCTGCACCCACAGTGGGCCATGGGGTTATACCCGAGCCAGATCAGCTCTGGGCAGGGGCTGCCTTTGCGGCCCAGCAGACAGGACGTGGTGTTGGAGTGCCACGCCACCTAATGGCTAGAAAATGGTATTTAGAGGTTTGCTTTTGGGAATAGGCTTGTAGGTAAAGTAGATATGTATTAGAACAATGGTCCAGGGCAATGGCAAGGGTTCACTGATTTCTAAAAAGCCTGTTTTGTGAGTTTCCTCAAGGCTCACTGTATCTGACAGGCAAGCAGCAAGGAGAGGGACATTAAAGACATATACCACATTGTTCCATAACACGAGATAAGGTGGCACCAGGTCAGTGCTCAGCTGTAGAGCCCTTGAGATTTCTGGTTTTGGAGGAACGCACCAAATTAGAAGAAGACCCGGAAAGAACCAAATTAGGATGTGTACATGTGATGGGTTTATGAAAGAAAGGAATATGCCGACAGGACAGAACGTGGACAGCATGAAGACCACAGGTAAACCAATCAGTGATGCCCAAAGACGAAGAGTCATCAGAAGGGGAGAAAGGATGCAAAAGGAGAGATTTCAGAGCAGCAAAGGGGCCCCTCGGGGACCCAAGGCCTCTATGGACAGAGGACATACCACCAGCCCATCTCACCCACCCCACTGGGGGGAGCAGGCCTTGGCCTCTGACCTCCAGGCTGTTGGTATCTGACATTCAAGAGAGAACCTCAGAGTGAAGTTCATGTACTGACCAGACATACCTTGACTCCGATGACAGCTCTTGGACTGGTAGATATAAAATTGTTTGCATTATTCTTATCTGTTATCACTGTGCATCAATAAAATTAGCCTATTATCGAATGGAGAGGTCATGGTCAATCTGAGGGTTTGGGTCTGCCCGGCACACAGTATCTGGGTCATAAATCCAGTGGCAACACAATCATGAGGTGAAGAAGTGCCAGTGGCAACAGTGCAGAATTGTGCCCCCTGCTGCTGCTGGGCAGGCAGGGGCACCTCACCTTGGCAGCTATGGCCACAGAGGCAGCTCCTGTCCAGAGCTGATCTGGCCTGGCTGCAGCCTCATGCCCTGCTCTGGACACACAAAATCTCGGGTGGGGGGGGCCCACATGCCCCCTTCTGCCGCATTGCTGGTGACCCTCATCCCTCACCCTTAACGCATGGTCTGTGCCCCTTCCCCCCGACCAACACATGGCTTGTGGCCCTTTCCACCTCATAGACTTACCTGGAGGGAGCTGCTTGGCTGTCACATGCATGTGCGTGCCCCCTGCCAATGATTGCCCTCCTCTCACTCCCCCCAAGCCCAAGCAGTCCCTTGCAGGCTGGAACTCAGCCAGCTTGCAAAGGGAAACCCATGGTTTCCCACATTTTTCTCCTTAAAAGTGGAAAGCCATGATTTTCTCCTTTAAGAGAAAATCTGTGTTTTTCTCCATTAAAAGAGAAAATCCATATTCTTCTGAAGCAAACGGAAAACCCAGATCCCTGGTTATCAGAAAACACTACTGTGGGAGGAGCATGTGTGTGCCACAGCCCTGTGCTTGGAGCACTTTTACTTGGCCACCACAACATCTGTATTATGAGACTATTGAGGGGATATCAGGGCACCCAGTTGAGAACCACTGAACTAAGTAAACCAAAAAAAATACAAAAGCTGTGTTTTTCCTTTAGCCTCTTTCAGTTACAGTACGAACTGGTGTTAGTTGCAACACTCCTAAGTAAAAACTGAAGGAAGTATGAAGCTTACATGTGTATTACAAGAAGTTAATGCCTTTGAAGGCAATCCTGAACTATGCACACTTCAAAATAAATTAGCAGAAATAAAGATTATAGTTTAATACATAAAATCTACAATTAACACATTAATATTAACTTTATATCTCTCACCTGATTTTAAGAGCATTTATCCAAGCATACAAAGGTAAAGCAGAAGCCCTTTGTTCCTGTTTCCGTATAGTTTCTGGTAGAATATGTTCAATTGAAAGAGCATCATGTTTAATTCGACATCTTGCCAGTGCAGCAGCCAATTTAGTCTTAAAACTACAAATATAAAATAATAGCTTTATCAAGATTTTTCATTTTAGCTTGCTATTATGCAACATTAATATTACAATGATGTTTGGAAGTTACAGTGAAACATGGATCCCACTACACTATGTACTGTGCAAACAGTACAGGGCAGTTCCTAACCCAAGTACCTTAACATTTTCAAAACTGTTGCATAGAGATGTGACCATGCATCTTTAGGACTTTTTGGTTCTTCTAGCTTTTTCTCCAAAATTGCACCATTTCCCATTCACAAAACACATGGTCAAGAAGAGAATGAATGATGAAAATGTATATTGAGTGTAACCAACCTTTGAAACATGCTCCTTTAAATTTGAGAAGAATTTCAAATGGAGAAATACTATGCTAATCAATGCCCAACCATGATCATTTAAATATCAAAACTGATAACTTTCTGGTTCAAATGATGTGAGAATATAAAAAGGTGATACTTCATATATTAATGCTATGAATGTATGGTATCTGGAAGAATATCGGTATTTCTTCCTTGCAATGTGACCCGTGGAACCAAAAGATCGTGCATAAAAGGAATGGAGCCCAGCAAAGCAAATGAGCTCCACCAAAGGGAGAAACAAATGTAGTAGGTGCAATGGGACCATGGATGTATTCAAGCCCACAAAATGGGGTCGAGAAACTTCGAGCCTAGCACACAGCATATTTTGAAAGCCTGACCAATCTCATGTTAGTGTTTAAAATAGGTGGAACGGCCTAACTTGTGAAGCTTGAAACTATCTTTAAGGACCTTCACAGTTAGTCATTTACACAAAGTAGTGATCACACCAGCCTCCGTTATGCCAGTGACATTGGCCTTCATTGCCCATTTGTTAAATGCACTGGCAAGACCAATGCGCTTTTCAAAAAGGCATCTTAATTTTTTCTCTGCTTTGTATAGTGTCTAGTATTTTTCTCATTTGTACCTGCTTTTCAAGGTACCCTCTTTGTGGTATCCCCCTCTAGTCTGGTTTTAGTTACTATTATCTTTGGGCCAATACTATACAACTTGTGGAACGAAAGGGGCCTCAGTAATTGGTCAAGGAACTACTGCAATAAGATACTACCACTTTTGGTGCTCTAAACCCCCAGGTTAGAGAGATGCCTGAAGAGTACTTTTTGCTCTAGCACCTAGGCTAGAAGAGCTCAGACACTTCTATGCTTAAGTGTTTCTCCTTGGCTGTTTCTAAGCAGCTCCCTGGTATTGGGTCTCACAGTTGTCTTTTGGAGGCAACCAGCTCTCCCTGCTGACTGTATAGGAAATCTAGACACGTAACTGTGTTCCTATGAATCGTCTTCCTGTGGTCAGGCCTCATATTTTTTAGAACTGCAACACTAAAATTGGAGGCAGCCACAGTGGGGGACTGTAGCCACCACACCCCCTTTGGCTGTGCAGCACATGCTCAGTGAGTTCCTTAAGCTCTCTGATACATCAGTACAGCTTCCAGGTGCCGCTGCACTGGTGCAGCTCCAAAACCCAGAAAGATAAATGCTTCCCTTTTTCCTTGCCCTGGAAAATGGCAGCAGCCAAGGTGAAAGGTGGGAAGGGTAGCAATGTGTACTCCCTGGCCTCTGCTGGTAGCTGCACTAACAAGCTGGTGAGCTCAAATTGCTAACTGCACATTGACCACACGCCCAAAGGGGATGGTGCCTTCCCCCGCTTCACTTGAATCCAACCATGGTGGCAGCTAAGAGAACAATTTGGATTTTGCACTAAGTGACATGCCCAAATGAATGGGACAGGGAGTCCTGACAGCATGAAGAGACGTTCTAGAAGTGGTGACTCTAATATGGAATAGAATGAAACCACTAGCCTGTCATAGCTTCTATTTCAAACTTTTACATTAGAAGTTAGTTTTAAATGCAACAGAAAGGGCCACAGACAGATGTACACATGGCAATGGAGTTTCTTCGGAAACAGGAAAAAGGAGCCCTCAAAGTTGAGAGAATGCACATAAATATTGTTATTAAATGTTTTCTAAGCAGTTAAGCTAAGCAGTTTATAACCTTTTCTTACTGTTATCCTTTCCTTTCTAGTAAGAACTTTTCATAGTGAGTTTATAGAAATCCCTACATTTTTAAATGGAACCCCCCCCACAAAACAGGTAATCCTATTTTCACTGGTTAATGACACTCATCCACCTTTTCTCAGAAAGTTGGACCCACAAAGAATACCAGGAAGTTATGCTCTGCAGGAGTGCTTAATTATTACAGCACACAGTGTTGGAAGCAAGCACAGAGGTCTTGCAGTTTATTTGCAAATGTGTACCATGGCCATGCATACAAGTCACACAAGTGCTACTGCAGCTGTGAAGCAGTTTCACTTTTGATCTGTGGTCTAGTGAAGTGGGAAGATAAGAGTCCTTGTCCTTCTTACCCACAGCCCCAGAGCATAAGGCCCCATAAATTAGGCTGAGGAGGGAGCAAGATTAACTTAAGTGACATCTGTTCAACCATGTGTGCTAATATGCATCACTCAGTGTCATTCAGAGGGGTACCTGACCTGGTTTATCTTCATTAACCATGGAGGCTGATAGCAAGACCAATGCGCTTTACTTAAAAGAAAAGACTGAAGAGGGAATTATGTTAGCACTATTTTAAAGGTTTTTATTTTATGTTCTGCTATTTTTATTGTAAGATTTACCTAATTGGCACTACTGGGGGACCTGCAACTGCCCAGAAAAAAATCCCTCGAGGGCCAGATCTGGTCTGCGAGCCGTATTTTGCCCATCGCAGATCTAAATTAACCTGTTTACTGAATGCTAAGGTGATATTTCTTCATGTTGTTGGCTTCAGTGTGATAATATTCATAAATTTTTCCACTGGATTAAAGCAAAAATATATTAACTTCTCATTTTTTTTTTTTTTTTTAAAGTATTCTACCATTAGCATGCGATTTTAATTAGGTACGGGTTTCCTCTTCTTTAGGAAACTAGAAGCTTCTTTCAAACTAAATTATTATTTTAAAAAGTCAGCAAATTATATCAGAATGGGCATTTTTAAACATACTCACAACTGGAAATGCTATCATTTAGAGGTGCACTGATATATCGGTCCGACATCGGATCAGTACCAATATAAAGAAAATTATCTATATCAGATATCGGCCCAATGGGGCCGATAAATACCCGTGTTGCACGTAGCTGCAATGCAGCACAGAGCAGAGCCGGCAGCATGGAGAGCTGCCTCCAGCTGGTAAATTGGAAGGGGAGGGAAGGGGCGTGGAGGGACAGATCAACGCCTCCTGCAATGAGGGAGGGAGTGGGCAGGGGCAGTCACTGCTCAGCCAGGGCAGGGGGTGGTGCATGATGGAGTCGTGGCTGGTGGGGTGGGGGCAGCTCCTGCTGCTGCTTGCACCCTGGGAGGGCTGGGGCAGAGGGGTGTGTGGCCCCAGATCTGCATGGAGCAGGGTGGGCTGCAGCTGCAGGATGGAGCCGGAGCCAGCGCTGTGCAGGGCTTTTCTTGTTGAGGGCTGGGCTCAGAGTGGGATCCGGAGGCACTGGGAGGAGGCTGTGGTCACCCCAAATTTCACCACAGCTCTAATCCCAGCCCCGCCCTGCTGCCCACCGCCCAGTGCAACCCCAGCTGCTTCTGGCAGTTGGGTGGAGGAGGGGCGTTCAACACCGTCCCGTGCCACCCTCCACCCCAGCTACGCAGTGCCTGCCCCTACCCCCTCCTTCACCAAGGGGTTCCTTGATCTGTCTCCACACACCCCTTCCCTCCACCTCCCCTTCCACCACACCGGACTTATCACCTGGAGGCAGCTATATCAGATATTGGATCAGTATCTGCTACTATGCCTCCTTAAATATCAGCTATCGGTACCGGCCTCCAAAATCTCCATCAGTGCACTCCTATCATCAGTGGTTACGAAACTCTTCATATATCTTAATATATATTAGCACAGCTTTTAATCTTACATATACCTGTATAGATAATGCTCTACTTCTCGGACTTCAGCTATTGGCTCCTCTTCATCAGAAATCTGTCGGGCTTGGAACTTTCGATCTTGGAAGTCATACAGCATGACAACAACTAAACTAGTCAATTCATCTGACTGCAAGAGTAAAATAGGCACATAAAGAAACTGAAAATCAGATCGCAAACTTGCAAAGAGAATCACTTTCACAGAACCTTACATTCACACAGAGACTGACTTCAGTGGAACCAGTCAAATAAGTCTGCCTAAATCATTCCTTTCAAAGAAACGGTGTAAGTATAGGAGAGTTTTTCTGACTATAAAGAAAAATTAGGTAAATACTTCTAAAATTATTTGTCTGGTTTCTAATCAATAAAGGAATCAGCTTTATTAAACTTATCTTTATTAAACCATCTATGGATTTCAATTCTCCAAGGTAAAAAAGCAAAATGCTTTGCTTTTTTCCCCACTCTTCAAACAATTTTTCTCTTTTGCAGTAGATGGTAGATGTAAAAGAATGGTCTTCCTATTCATCCACATGGCCCAATAAAAGCTTTGAAGTGTTACATTAAAAAATACTTAGATTTTCCAGTTCACAAAACCATTTTAGAGGATCTGTTTTATAGTCAATCAATAATATTCAAGCCCAGATAAGCGTTATAACTTGTAACAGATTGAAGATATTATATTGATTTCTGATAATTTTGGAGCTCCAGTAAGCCTTCAAATTTCCAGTGGTGTATAAATAAGTAAGGCTTAGCATTTTTAAATTTTATAGAACATGTGAAGTTTGAAATGACTTTAAAAAAAAGAATAAATAAGAACACTGACCTCACAGCAACCACAGTTACAATCATTCAAGATGGAGGACACTACAGTATATATACAATTTATGACAAATGAGGCTGCTATATGTGGCTATGAGAAAAGTGCCCAATATATGCAATGGTCCATTAATCCTTGTAATTCATCTCAACCACTGTCAATGCTGTGCTATTTGTAGCACTAAAACTGACTTGGTTCTGTCAATTTCAAGGCTGTTATTAGAACAAGGTCACTGAGTAACAAAGTGAGGACCAATAATGAAGTATGGAAAGCAAAACGAGTGCTTTTCCAGCATAAATTTGTAAACATGTTTCAAATCAGTTTAAATGGTATGTTAAATATTGAAAAGAAAATTAATAAAAGGCTGTCTGCTTTGCACACAGACATCTTAAGTAGCTTTTACTATGAGATAGTCTACTCTAGATTAGAGCATTTGTTCAGTAAATGTAAAACCCAGGTTCACTGCCTTCAATCTGAGGGAGTTTTCACAAGTACCTAAACTCTGCAGATAGGGGTACACTAATAAAGATGTTTTGGACTGATACCAATGACTGATTATTAACAAGCTATATCAGCTGATACCAATCTGATTGCCAATATGCAAGCCCAGCAGTTTGGAGAGCAGCATTCAGCTAGTAAGTCTGTTGGGAGGAAGGGGAGGGGCAGTATATCGAGGCCCCTGCAGAGAGGGAGGGAGTGGGGCAAGGGCTGAGGCAGGCACTGCCCAGCCAAAGCCTAGCACAGAACGCTGCCCAGCCAGAGCTGAGCACAGGATGGAGCCCTGAGTGGCTTGTCCGGGAGGCATGGGGGGGGTGGGGGGGCTCCTGCCACTGTGTGCACCCCTAGGGGAGGCGTGAGGGGGCATGTGCCCCGTGGATCTGTGGGCAGGGCAAGGGCAGGCTGCCACTGCAGGCTGGAGACAGCACCAGGCTCTTCCTGGAGGGTGGGTTGCGCCGGGGCTGCACTTGGGGTGGGCAGGGGCGGCTTACAGCCACCTCAAAATTCACCATAGCCCCCCTGACCACACACCCAGTGCCACCACCATGCACCTCAAGCACAGCCTGGCGGGGGGGTTAGGCCAGGGAAGAGCCCGGCGCTGCCCCCAGTCCCAGCCTGCAGTGACAGCCCACCCTTGCCCCGCGCACAGGTCTGGGAGTCACATGCCGCCCAGGCCTCCCCTGGGAGTGCACACAGAAGCGGGAGCTGCCCCCTTCCCCTCCCTGTGGCCCCCCAGATGAACCATGATCCCTTGCCTCACCCCGCCCCAGCTGGGCAGTGCTTGCCCCTGCCCTAATCCCTCTTTCACCATGTAAGCCTCAATACACCTCTCCCCCCAGCCCTCCAAGAGACTTACAAGCTGGACGCTGCTCTCCAAGCTGCCGGACCAGCATTTATCAGTGATCTTACCAGCCACATCAGTCAAAAAAGGCAACTGCCAATAATGTTAATTTTTATTTTATCGGTACCGATATGATATGGAGCGATGTACTGGTGCACCTCTATCTGCAGAGGCAGGGTTTCAGCATTTCCTAATGGCTGATTTATGCTAACTGGGAAGGCACCTGCTGGCAATATGAATCCCATTCCTAACTTCTCAGTTTGAGCCGATAAAGTCTATTCTGAAAGCCAAACACCTAAATGCTAGACATGGCAAAAAGTGAGCTTCATCATATGTATCCTTTTGTGGATCTAGGTCTAAGTCAATGAGGAACTCATTGACTTGGACCTAGACAGAGGGAACTCATCTTTCCAGGATGATAAATTATATATTCAGACAACACTGAAGACATTTAACTAAACATGTTCAAAGCCATGTGTATAAATTGCTGTCTTAACCCAAATACTATCCTTGCTTCTATAAACAGTAGAATTAATTTATTTAATACCAGCATTAAGAATGAAAAGTTAGGGTTTCTGAAAGAACTCCAGTTTTAATCCAAAATTTCAGATAACATTATCAATACTAAAACAATCTGAAAAAGTGAGTAATTTTTACAATGGAATAAATAAAAATCCTTTAGCTCCTTTTGCTCACTTATTAATTAAATCAGATCATAAGACTGCTTGAGGCACTTGAACAATTTGAATGAATTCAATTAGTCTCATCATTCTCAGATTATTTTACAGTTCAGGTTGGTAAAGCCCTTAGAACTTTAAATAACTTGAGATATTGTAAAAAAAGATCCCACGGCAAAGAGGAAAAGGTCTTTTAATTTAAATATATATATAAAAAAAAGAGAAAATTTTAAAAAGGCAATATTCAAAACATACTACAGCTTTTGATATCTTCTGAGAAGGAGGGATTAAAAATGCATAGGGGCATGCGCTGCAAGGGGAAGGTAGAGAGACAGAGGAAAATAAATGTCCATAAATCACACATTTTATACACTTTCAATTATCACTCAAGCAGATATTACTTCTTAAAATCAATTAACTTCTGTATTTATTTAATGATTTACCCATTTTAACATGATGTTAGATTTTAGTATTAGCAACCACCTAATTTAAAGCAAAAGCCAAATGAGGAACTAGTCATTTTTTTATTTTTAATGGTTCAGTTCATAAATAGTGAAGACAAGCTATAATGTGCACCTCTAAGGACAATTAGAAATATTTTGGTCATAAGGGAAGCAGGATGACAGTAGGAGGGAAAATGTTTCTTATAAATTTGAGCACAAAAAAGCATTAATAAAGATCTTTGGAAAGGACCAACTTAAGAAAAGTGTGACATTATGAAAATACCAATCTAACAAAATTTAAGCTAAATCTAGGTTCAGTAAATTTTGACTACTTAGAGTAAGGATATCTCTCTTTTCAGAGGAATGGATGAAAGGAGAACTGTCTAGCTTGCTGAGAGAGTTTGTAAAGAGATCATCCTCTTAAGTACAAGTGAAGAAATAGAAGGTTTTTTTCCCTTTCTCTGTTAAATTCTATTTTGTCTGGAGAAAATATTTTATATTTTAATTTTTTAAATAAAATTTGTAAGCAAAAGGAAATGAAAGGGATGATCTTTTATTTCTAAGGAAAAAAAAAACAAGAGAGAAGGAGAAACATCAGATAGGACTCATTCTTATGACTGGCATATCATAAATACACAGACAGAAAAGATATCGTAATCTCAATTTGCCCACTTTGCTTTTTCTGACTTTCATCACAACCAAGCTCTGGATACTCTTCTTAAACACCATACAAAAAATCTTGATGGCCAAGTTACTTGTAATGCATTTAATTTATACCACTCCACACTTATTTAGATAATTCCAGCTGAGAGGCTTTAAGTACTTTACAAGCTACTAACTCAATATTTCATCTGTAAATTTGAAAAAGCAGAACAGATTAAAGCCAACATCTTCAGAAATTACTATTACATTTGTGGAAATGTGTAGCTCCTCCGGCCACTCTCCACCCCCCCC